TTTATTAAGCAAGAACCGTTCATCAGCGGAGTTCCTTCCATTCTGGTCATCCCGAGGTGACAATGGCGGCTTGTTGAGTGGCTCCCGGGCCCAGAGACGCGTCCGCGCGCGCGTCCACGCGCGCCACGCGGGAGGGGCTTGAAGCGAAGCCGGACGGATTGACGTCTTGATGGTCATTTCGGCTTGCAGCTGTGGGGAGATATGCAGCAAGTCCAGGAGGTGGTAGATCCACTTTATCGCCACAGGTAGGAGGCGCAGGGCAGCGCAGGACGTCCACGTGGAGGTGGCCATCGTGTGGTCAACCTGACAAAGAGCCGCAAGCTCCCAAAAAAGGGCCATTTCGTGGCATTCAGGGCTATTAAATAACAAAGTTGAAAGGCTTAAAGCATCATGCAGGTGTAACTCCAAGCACTAAGACCCGTTTGCCACCATCCTTTTTGCGATTCATTTTGGGTTCCCCCTTCTTCCTGCCACTTGCATGGCTGAGCCCATCTTCCTATGGCTGCTGGTCCTCCTGGGCACTTGGCTTGTCCTGCTCCTCTTCGGCGGCTGCCGCTCCGCCGTCCACGCGTCGTCGCGCCGCAGCTCCGCAGCGGTGGCGCCGGGCTCCGAGCGCAGCGCGCGGAGCCCAGGCGCGGCGGCGGAGGCGCTGCGGGCGTGTCGGCAGATGGCCATGGAGGACACGGGTGGGGCTGGGGAGGGTCTTCAAGTCACCTGCCCCAGTCATTTGAGGTACAGGGTCGGCCCGTTTTGTGAGACATTTCGGCAGGGGGACCGGTGGTGGGCCGGTGAGGTTGGCGGTTTGGCCAAGTACATTGTGTGCTGACATGACATGATGTTTTCTCAGGAGGGTATTTGTGCAATTTGCTTGGGAGAGATCAAGATCAAAAAGGTGGTGACACGGCTGATGTGCGGCCACTCCTATCACGAGTCATGCTTGTCAGACTGGTGTTCCAGAGGGCAAGGTCTGCGCGGCTGTAAGATCCAATGCGGCTTGGCAGGATGTCGCAGGATCATGAATTGAAGTGACTGGCTGGCACCGTAAAGCTGGAATTCTTAGCGAAGGGGGAGGGGTTGATGATGGTTTTTGTTTTGTTTTTTCATGAGGTCCCACTTGCCGCCATCTTCATTATCCAAGTGATCCTGAATGTGGGGTGAAGGCCGAGCTTTGTAAGTGAAGTGGAGGACCACTTGTCAGTTTTAGAGCTTTCGCACCACAAGAAGACTGAAGACTAAAGTTGACCAAAGCATGCCAGAGGATAGACATCAGATGGCTGAGAACGAAGTCATCGGAGTGTTTCAGATTCAGTTGAGTGGTCATTTGTTTCTTTAAACGCTCAGTCACAGCCATCAGTTCAAAGATGCTCTATATTCCGCCTCGCTTGTGCGGGGGCGTTGGGCCGGGCCTATGCAATCTCTCAGCAAGAGGCTGTGAAGAGCCAGCCCACCTGAGTTTGGGCTAAGGTTTTGAGGGCCAGAAGTTTCTTAAACAAATTTTGTTGGGATCAGTTTGGAGGGTGGACCTCCAGCCCCGTGAAGGTCAGAAACCAAAGAACTCCTAACCCATGAGGGGTGCGGTCTTGGTGACATCGCCGACATGGGCAGCCAAAACAGTACTTGGTTGCCGGCCGCAGCCGCTTCAGCCGCTTCGTCATCTCGCCGTGTAGGTCGTGGGTTGGGTTCATTGAGGTCTCCAGGCCGAGGAAACCCCAATTAGGCCCAACAATCACGGTAAGAATGGGTCCTTTGTGTGCACGATTTCCCAGTACCTTACTGTAGCGGTATTCTTATGTGGCATATGTGGCATTCTCGGTGAATGTTCAAGATTGTTTCGAGCAAAGTTAGCAAAGATTCCATAGAGTCTGTTTAAGGGATCTCAGTTAGCGTTTGAGTTGCCATAGGCCAGCTAGGCCAGGCACATACTCACCCTGGTTGTGGAAGGTCCATAGATAATATTCAATGAACAGATGAGGGGAGATGACTGAAGATGACTCACCGTCGAGTCTCAGGGAGGCATAATTCTTGAGGAGGCAGACTGTGGCACCATAGCCATTTTTAAAAACGCAGTGCCGCAGTGTGCACAGTTTCAACCTTATCACATTGATGAGCATTGCTCTGGGGCTTATCCAGCACTTCGCTCTCATTTGTGCTTCAATTCCCAGCAGCTGGGGTGATGAAATCAGTGGTCTACTCTTTTTCACTTGATGCTGTTTTGAGCCACGGTTTGAACCTCTCCACTGATGCCTGGCCACCCTGCTGCACAAGGGGTTGTTCCATCGCCTTGACCGCCTCGGCGAAAAAGTCAAGGGCGCAGCGCGACGGCTCGCGACGGCGCCGCAGCGAGAGCTCGCCTCAGCTCGTCCACGGGGGGTGAATTCGAACATGTTGGGGGCACGACCACGGCATCGGTGGCTTCTTTGGTGAGCTCGGAGTTTGTTGTGTGGTTCACCACGGCCCTCCCAGGCTTGCATGCGCAGATGGCGGGCGGTGGAGGCAGTCCCTTCGGCAGCTGGAGCCCCGGAGGATGTTCGATGCGCCCTGGGGACCCCCAACGGTCGAGTCGCTGGCGGGGGCGTTGGAGCTTGGTGGATGGCTGCAGTGGGAGTTTCGAACAGGTTTCTAGCATGGAATTGGACACCTTGATATACCTTGATATATATATATACCTTGATATACCTTGATGCAAAATGGATCTATTGGGCAACAAGGCTGCAATACAGCAAGCAAGCTGCCATTTCTTCATTCTAGTCTGAGTTTTGTTTATTATATGTCCTATCGTTCTAGATGTTCTAGGGCTCATCATGTCATCCTTGACTAGATGCACACCGAAGTGGATGCAAGTTGATGGAAGGACATAGGAATGCCGGGAGGAGATCGAACGTGATGCAATGGCTTTTCAGGTGCCAATGGCGCCAACCCCTTTGCCGGCGGTGCGGGGCCCAGAGGGCCCAGGATGTGGGTCAAAGGATCAACCTGGATCGAGAGTAGATGGCACAATCCCCCCGAAAGTAGTTCCTAGTAGCGAACCTTGCTCCTAGTAGTAAGGCACTTGCTACTAGAAGCGATGCACTTGTTCCTAGTAGCTTCTTGCTCCTAGTAGATGGACTCCCATCTTTTTTCAAAGACATCCTGGAATTGGAGTGCCATCGAACCTCAGATGGCCCGCTGGAAGAGAGATCTGGTAGCCAACTGCATCCACCCACCCCCACCGCTCTCAAGAGCGGGATCAAGTGGATGACCTTTAAGGTGATTTTTGAGGCATGACCCACGTCAGGCACCAGGGTTTCGTTCGGAACCACTTGGTTTGAGTGGAACTGAAACCACTGGCCCTTCGCGAGCTCTCCGTGCCTCTCGTGCCAAAGCCACCCGACGCTCCAAGACGTCACGCGCCGGCCTTGAGGTGCTAAGGGTGGTCTTTTCGCCTCGGGTGCCAGTTCTAACTCCCAGGTGGGCGGCTTGCAGGGCGAGTGCTTCCAGGGGAGGGCGCTGTGGTCCCCTGGAACTTCGTGAGGCTTTGGAGTGGGTATGCTTGGGGGTCTGATCATGTCTGAGGACAGCATTCGGACAGCACGTTGTGCAGGATTTTCCGCTAAGTATTCTGAAGCTGTTTTGGGCTTAGCACCATCTGAAGACCTGCTTGTGGATGGGTTTTCTGTGGACGTCACGTCTTCCAAGTTGTAGAAGGGGACTTCTCGCCCTTCTGGAGAGGCGTGCTGGCATAAGTCGTGCGTTCTTTCAACTGGGCGTTCTACAGCGACCCAGTGGAGAGGGTAAACGTGCTGCCGTTGATCGACCAAATCAGCCACCTGTTTGGAACACGTGATGCAGGCAGCTTCATCTGGAGGTCTCCTTGGAATGCTAGGCATGGGACCTGCTGGCCAGCATGGGCTGCATGGGCTTGCAGCAGTCGGGAGCCGGTCGAAGAAGGGGTGCAAAACGGAGTTTGGAACATTTTGGAACATGTGTTTGGGCTCCTTTGATGAGTCAAGCAACATTTTGTTGTCCTTTTGGTCCTTTCTGGGTTGAGCTGCCTGTTTCCTTGTTGTGGTGACAGTGGGGCCTTTTTTGAAAGCAAAGCGGCCCCCCCCATTATTTCAAGAAGTGGCTACATATACGTTCAACGTGCCAAGTGAGCGCTCACGTGCAAACCTCACGGTGGTTCGTTCGCCATTACTAAGGGAATCCTGTTTAGTTCCTTTTCCTCCGCCTACTTATATGCTTAAATTCAGCGGGTTCTCTTGGTGATCGTCCAAGAAGAGTGATGTCGGGCTGGAGAGAGCAGCTGGAGGGAATGAGATCCCCCATTGACATGCACAATTAGCAGCTTAGCACATTTTAGCACCTACTCTACGAAAGCCCGTCGTTTATAAACCCGTGGAAGAAGCGATGCTGGAAGTGGCCCCGCCGCCCCAAACCTCTGCGACCTCTGCGCAGGTGCGACCTCTGCGATGGCCATGGGAGGTGCCGTCGGCCGGCACCGCGGAGGTTTCGGACGGAAGCTCACACACTCGTGCGATGCTTGCCAGGTGCTTCATCTGGTGGAGGTCTCTTCGGGGGCTCAACTGGTGCAAG